TGGCCTGTCTCTTATACACATCTAGATGTGTATAAGAGACAGCCTATCTAACTGTGTACAAAGATAATCAAACAAACCTTATTTAGTCTTTACTGACATTAATGACAGTCAAGGTGCAAAGTGGTGGCAGGTTCATGAAATGTCAGGGACAAGGCAATTAGGTGACAGACAGACACAGTATATATTCTCTAACAAGTTAATATGAAACATTAATTAGTCTTTATGGACTGGTAGTCACCAAGGTGTGAAAACCTTGCTAGATAAGACTAGTATCATGGAGCTAGTATACACACACCATGTGAGCAACTATATCTGCATTTGCAATCTGCACACACCATGTGCATCAACCGTACATACATACATACACACACCCACACACATATATACACATAAACACACATACAGTAGTACAAGATTAGTTCAACTTGACTGACCATAAATGTTTATAATGATCTTTTTTATTTATCTATAAATACACAAATATGTAAACATATATACGTACTTATACATACGTGCACATACACATATGTAAACGTGTAATATGATCATATATACATTCACAAAAACACTCGTGCATATAGAAACATATACACGCATCATCATCAAATACACATACATATACAATTTGTTTATTTATTTATTTTATTCTATTTTATATATTTATTTTTTTATTTTCTTATTTTTATTTTTTTAATTTATTTTTTAATTATTTTTTTTTGCTTTTGCTTTCAGGGGGATAATACGCATAAGAAGAACAGAGATACAGGGTCTGTCAATCTCGGCTGCTATACAACACACATACAAACACCTGCATAATAGAGGGTCAGTCCAAACATGGCTGACAATAATTGCTATGGTTAAGGTGTTGAAATAGAGCTTTAAATAGTCACAGTCACTGAGTATTAGTTATAGTTCCTGCTACAGCCTGTTATATCGTGTATTTTTACGTGTATGATATACGTGCAGTTCCCAACCCTCAGGCACCTTCTCTCATACAACTGACTGAAACGCTCATACATAGTGGAGCTAGCTGTGGTTAAACGAGAAAGTCTTAGATAGTACGACGCAGCTTTGATTGGTAATGAAAACCAGATACATTAAATTTTGACTTTAGAAACACTAAAATTTTATTGCAACGGATATTTCGACTACTCCCTCTAATATTTGTCAACGCTTGACATAACACCCATATCCACTTCAATTGCTGTAGACACTTGAAATGTCAATCAGCCATTCTCCCCCGCCTATCGCATTAAGCAGGGGAGATTCAAGTATGGGGACCCGTTTTGTCACTAAATTTTAATATTTCAGTGCATATAGGCCTATTGGAATTAGCGCTACCAACTTACCTATTCTAAATATGTTGTGTGCCCCCCAACATTCTGAATCTGAAATTTTAAAGGAAAAATCTCTGAATTCTGATGGTATCAACATTGTGCTATTGCTAACCCCATAATGATTAATGACTATTTATTTCTTATGACTATCTTAAAACTATGCGCGTTTCGTATTTTTGTTAAATTTGTGTGGTCATGTGAAACTCAGTAATAATAATAAATAATAATAATAGTTGGATTTGTAGAGCGCATCATGCGAAAAAGCCTCTATGCGCTTGGTGATTGAGCTCTTTGAGTTGGACATTTTGAGAAAAAAGAAAGTTGAAGTTATTTTATGAAACTAAAAAAAAAACCTACTTAAACTAAGTACGGTAACTCCTGAGGAAAGCGCTTTAAATTGTCATCAAAATGGCAAGGAGATTTGTTCATGAGGTAAGTATATGACTCTTTGGTAAGTACAGTACGGTATATAGGCCTAAGCTGATGGAATTCGGGACTACTAACAAAACTACAGGGGAATAGGACCAATTAAAAGGCTGAAGAAAAAGCATAGGCCTATTCAAACGACCAGAAAACAAAATTACTTCTTTTTCCAGAAACAAAAAAAAAGAAACAAGACCATTGAAGGTGTAGTAATAACTTGTATGTAGCTGGGTCTAAATTATAGAACAAATTGAAAACTTTTTTTAAATACCATTACTCTTACTCGTATACATAATATGCTTTAAATATATATTTTTAGATCCAAAATGTTGCAGCGAGCGTTTTTCATCGAGTTGCTGGCACAGAAGAGAATGAAAGTGTAGGTAACGGCATACCATAGGCCTATGTACACTTTTTCTGTACGTATGGGATTTCTTTTTAGTTAGCCTATATCCTAAAATAGCCTTAGTCCCTTATTTTTAGGCCTTGGCCCTAGTCACTATGTTTAACCTATTGTTATGATGTTATAGCAATATGATGTTATAACAAAAACTATTGTTATAACATCATACCCCAATTGAAAACTTTTGTTAAATACCATTACTCTTACTCCTGTGTATGATATGCTTTAAATATATATTTTTAGCTCCAAACTTTAGCAGTGAGCGTTTTTCATCGAGTCGTTGGAACAGAAGAGAATGAAAGTGTAGGTATACCATATGTACACTTTTATGTACGTATGGGATTTATTTATTAGTTTTAAGCTAAAATAGCCTTAGTCACTTATTTTTAGGTCTTGGGCCTAGTCACTACGCTATGTTTAACCTATTGTTATGATGTTATAATAACGATTATAATGTTATTATATATAACCAAAACTATTGTTATAACATCCTACCCCATTTGTAAATCAAAGGAATTGGATTTTTCAGAAACGCTTTAGTGGTAAAGGGGGTGGGAGGGTTGTGGAATGACTGGAAAGGTTTGAGCCCCACCCTTTAGATATAATATTGTACCTAAGCTCCTAAAAATCGAAAGCCGTAAACGGAGCCTACATAAACACTTGAGCTTGTGGGCATCACTATTATGGGTCAAGCGCGTAGTGCGCGAAGTCCTGGTCCTGTCCTGATTGGTCAGTTGTTAAAGTTTGATCTACCCCTCAGAAAAGTCCATTGGCCTAGCAGTATTTAAGCAGAGGACCATGATACATAAACCGTAGCTCTCACTCCACAAACTAGACATAATAGCCTATCATTATTGTCTTTTCTATACCAGGGTAACGCAGGAAAGATAAGACCGAATTGGCATGGAACATTTGATATCTCCCTCAAGTTAGTTGTTGCCAGTCGGAAAGTACACCAGTCCTTTACTTTGCTTGATGCAGAGGTGACGCGTAAACGTGTTATTAGACTAACAACGCTAACGCGTTACAAGAAGATTGATGGGATCAACGATTGTTTGAGAAAAATATCTCGTCTGACTCCTGCGTTCCTTAAGACGCTGTCCAAATATGGATATATGTATGGTGTGGAAGCGGAATGGTTTCAGAAAATAGCAAAGTCTTTCAGAAAGGTAAAAGACAACATCTATATTATTTATGTGATTTCTATTCGTTACACAAAGCAGGGCTGCTGACGCTTTGATTGAACAGTTCTTGGGCCCTATAATTACTTTACCCAAGTTAAACTCCACGAATTTGCATACAAAATCTTGGTTTTCACACGCTACTACCTTACACTGTCGCCTCACAATGTTTTCATTGCAGTTGTTACATTGTACGTAGCTGTCCCCGAAGCAATATGAAGGCGCCCTCACTCGATTGACCAATCAGCGTCGTCATAAAAGCTGTTTGATATCATATAGCGATTTTATGGAATCCATGGACTAAAGACAGAATGCATTGACTTAAATAGTTGTAGGACAAAATACTATTTGTAATCATTGTTATCATTATCGATATAATTTTCAATAATGACGTAAAAAACAAACACCATTTTTGGTTTATAAATCTCCATCATTAATAGAATTAATTTTGTATGTACATTGGTTTTTCATTGATAGGAGGCCATGAATATGTTTGAGTCAAGCTATCACATGCATAACGCGTTGATCGAAAATGATGACTGTTTACTTGAAGAGAGTATTAACTCGATCATCGATTCATTGAACGTCATAATGGAGATCAAAGAAAGAATTATTGCCGAATTTTCCAAGATCAAGCATGAAGAACGTGGCATCTCGAAAGAAGACAATCTCTTTTGGCAGAATATCAAATCGACATCTTGCAGTGTTGCCGGACTGAAAAAGATTTTACCACCAGCATACAAAGTATCACTGCGCCTTCTCATAAAGAAAGTCCAGGCTGATTCGATTGCATCAAAATACAAGTGAAATTTCTTATGGCTTACTAGAAATGACATTTAAAGCTCACGTCATTGCACGATAAATTCTTGGTCAAATAATAAATGATGGTTGAGCAAATTAACAAGTGAATGGTATACAAATTGGAGAAGAGGATTTGCGGTGTCCTGACCGTCAGCATATCTAATTGCATGTGTTAAGACAGTGTGTATGGAAATTGTAACACACACTTGGAACTTCCCATAAGGACAATCCAAAACCTTAAGAATTTCCTAATGGAAAAATCCCAAAAGTATAGGCTATACCATTGGCGTCATAGCTCAATTGGTAGAGTATTCGAACGACTTGTTAAATATTTCTGGGAATCGGGACAATACGGTTTTTTTTAATTAAAATTATTATAATTATATAATTATAATTTATGTTTTACTTATGCAATACATGTACTGTACAATGCTGTTTATGTTGTAAATATTGCAATAGACTGGTTGTTGCAATTCTGTCAGTTTATTAAGTTTAACATGAAAATGTTTATTATTTGTTCATGCGATGTAAACATAAATTGTCTTCGAACAATAAAGCACCATTTATCATGTGCATTAAGTACAATTTCACACTGGTCTGATATTATATAGATGGCTTGCAGTAGCGGATTCAAAAGTGGGGGAGGCTGACAAGCCGGCCCGGGCCCCCTAAAATTTAAACAAATTTACGGTATAAAAAAAATTGAGAAAAAATATAATTATAATAAAATTTAAGTCTAAGAGAGTGCCATTTCCGGCCATGTAGAGGTGCCATAATCATAAATTGATCAGCCCAACCATGGTGGGGCTGATAGTGGGTGGATCCACTATAATATGTGAAAGACCTTCACTGGGCCCTCTCGATTGCGAATTCCTGGATCCACCACTGAGCATTTGGCTATAGAGCCACCTGTTATCCGTACACAATAACGCTGCCTATCCAACCTCAATTACACAAATACATTTTGGGACGGTCATGGTGCCTTATCCATGTAATAGTAGGGGGATGGGGATTTTATATTTTTATAGACACTTATAGAGACATTTTATCTCCATACTGTTCTAAACATTAAGGACACAAAATTCATTTTCTTCTAAATAGTACCATCTTTGGTTCGAAGTCTTTCCGTAATGTGTCTTATTTGCAAACGGATCTCATCAATACAGATTCACATCGAAAACCTAATCTTTTAGCTTCATAATTTAGTACTGCACAAGTGTTCATCATAACGCTTGTCATGTTTTAGTTTTTGACGTACGGTTTACCAAAATGTTTTCAACGGTTTCTTTGAAATCTAAAATAGATTTGACCTATGACGAGTAAAGCGAGGACAAGAAGAGGACAATAAAAAGACAATAAGGATAAAACACCACAATAATTTGGTTTGACACTGTTGTTTGAATTGTTGTGTTTTTAGAATGGTCAACAATGATGTACTTCATGCATGCCTCACCCAGAATAAATTAAGTACTAAGTACTACAGTGTTAGCTTAGGATTGAAGTTTGTCGAGTGAGCAGTCTACCATTTCTTACGAAATACGAAATCTACAATACGAAATCTGATTTTATTTATAATTTTTGATTAGCTTCGAAATTTCGCAATGAGCGTTTTCGACCAAACTTTCGAAAACGAAGAGGATAAACGTGTAAGTTAATCAATAATTCGATTTTTGTTAATTAGTTCATCCTCAATCAATGATGAGGTACTGATGGGGTACTGTAACTTTTTCTTAGAGTCTAATTATTTGCCTTCAGTTTAGTAATAAATGCTCTTTGCTTTTAGGGAAATGATTACATCATAACCTCTTATGTCCTCCATGGTATGGCTAACCTGTCAATATTATTTGTTTTTCTACTACTATTAGCAAAACTTAGTGGAGGTAAGACCAAATTGGCCTGGATCACTGGATATCTCTCTAAAGCTGATAGTTGCCAGCCACAAAGTTAGCCAGTCGTTTTCCTTAATTGATACAGCCGTGACGAATTTAAGCAATGAGCGTAAACGCGTTAAACTAGCAACCCTAACGCAATACAACAAGATTGGTGGGATCAACGATTGTTTGAAAGTAATAGTAAGTCTCACTGCGGAATTCATAAAGACGTTGTCCAAATTTGGATATATGTATGGTAATGACGCAGCCTGGTTTCAGAAGATAACAAATTATTTCAGAAAGGTAGGTGAGATAACATGTCATTGTATTTCTTTTTCAATGTATTTATATTCAGGGTCGCGCGACAATGACAAAAGGGACAATGACGGTCCACTATAATAAATCAATCACACGTGATTTAAAATAAACTCCAGTCGTATGAATTCTCCACAGTTACTAATTCAAAACAATCTCATTATAATGCTGTATGTACTATGACATTATACTGTACATACACTTCAGGCCTAATAATCAATGTTATTGCTTATGTTGCAATACAAACACTTCGATATACAATAGCCCGTATGCACGTAGTGAAGTGTTACATTAGCTATGGTGACCTAACCGCACCTGGGGAATACACTTTTTATCTATTATTCATATTCAAAGATAATTTAGGAGTTGCCACATTGCATTTGGATACTAAGTATATTTTGCGAAAATTTGTGGTACACATTAATCGCTGTGCTTTAAGCTGTGCGCTCACTGCGCCCGACTCTATGGAGAACGCAATGCAACGACGTGCGCTCAATCGTTTTTAATGACGATCCGTTCAGACTGCCACCGCCAATCAGCGCTTACAGGGAGCTGAATTGGATTCGTCGTACGTGGATAGGACGCTGTGAGCGGCCGGCTTTTGCGGGTGTATGTGTTTGACTCTCGTGTTTATTCTTTGTAATTAATGTTTTTCAAGTACTGTAATGTCAAATAAAACCAAACTAAAATGTATTTCTACAATGAATATAATTACCTTTAATATGTATGTGTCTTTACCATCTTATAGGAAGCCATGAATATGTATGAATTTAGCTATCGTTTGCGTGAAGCATTGATCAACGACGATTGCTGCCTACTTGAGGAGAATATTAACTCTATCGTCAATTCTCTGAAACTTATAATGGAAATCAAAGAGAAGGTCATCTCTGAGTTTTCGAAGATCAGGAACCAGCAGCGTGGCATCACGAAAGAAGATGGAGTTTTTTGGCAGAAAATGGATACGACGGCTAGCAGCGTTGCTGAACTCAGGAAGAGCTTGCCACCTGCATACAAAATATCTTTGCGAGATCTCGTGAAACGAGCCCAAGTCGATGAATACATTACGCTGATGGAAGATGCGCATTGAATTAAATATATTGTAGCACCACGGACTGACCTGGTAGGGACATAAGCAGTAGACCGAGACATAATATGTTAGTAACAATATCCTGGTTCACACGATGGTTCAATAATCGCATAAAAAGTTAACCCATCTTATGTACAGTTTGTATATAAGTTAGTTGTTGTAAGGAAGTAATTTTTTTTAATCTTTTGTATATCTTGGTAAAACAGACCTGATGTTACCATCAATATTGATGATAGGCGGCCACTATATTTATATTCATATTTTTATTTAATTTCTAAGCCATGAAATATTCGCACTTATGGCATAGTGAGAGCCACTTTACCGTCCCATCACCAGTTAAAGCTGAAGTACCTAACTAAACATGGCCGGCCAAGAATGGTCAGTATGTGGTTCAAATCCTCGACAACGAGGTTCACAACATAAATGGAAATCGCTACGCCAAATCCCTTTCTCCTTTGGTATGGAGATACACCTTGCCTAGTGTTATTTGAAGAGGATAATAAGTATTTGAGTAAAACGTATGTCCCCCAACTGGATACGAACCAAAGACCCGTTCGTATACTCTACCAACTAAACTATGAGGACAAGTAGTATACACCTATTGTTATTTTATGTTAATAATGAATATTATAATGCCTTCAAGTCTAGTAAAAAATATGCGTGTGATAAATATACATGTCTAATGGATACATTTTAAGTCACTCTTAAATATATTAGGAATGGAATGGAAGGAATATGAATTAATTATTTTAGCCTGCTATTTATAACTTTTTTAAGTGATTTGAAATATATTTCACACACACCTTCAATAATTAATTTAGATTTATCGAAAATTGTAGCTTTATGATCATGACTAGTTTGCTTGTTGTAGCATGATAACTAAAAATTGTAGCGCTAGGTAGCACAAACTATTTTCATATTTTAAAGGCTTAGTGTATGAAAATAAGAATGTACAAAAGTATAATTGTAAATTTAAATATGCAATACAATCTCTCCATTTACTCCCAATATCAGAGTCAGATAAACAAATAAAAGAAAGTCTTCGCTTTAGAAAAAAATATGAGGTATGCCAAGGAAAAAAAAAACAATACCAAAATTAAGAGAAATTATTTAAAAAAATATCAATGATTGAAATAGCGAGGGGATATGACGGTGGTATATCTATCAAATAATTATTAACCGAAATAAAACGATAACTGATGAAAGTGTGAAAGAAACTTATTCGATATATTGCCTGGATTAGTTTATTTTTAGTGAAATCATGGGGATGATTACAACGTTGTACAATATATATTTGTTGTCGTTAGAGATGAAATATAATGTTTGTATGTTGGTGCAACATCTACTAAATAAGACTTTGAACAAAGATTCAAACCTACCAATAACAAGATGCTAAACATTAATATATAATAATTAAAGATTATTGTTGGATAAATGACGGTTCGAAAAAATATATTTTATACATACGATTCATTGTTGCCAGTATAAGTAGAGATTGTAGGATATCGTCAATAGCAAAATGGCCACCTTTGGCCAAGACTAGGGACGGACTTTCAACACTAATGTTGAATTACCAGTCAATTATTGGCGTTGACAATTTTACTAACGTATTAATGTAGATTGATAAAATTTTTTTTACCTAACCTACGATCAACATCAAATCTATACATATTTTTTTTTTCTTCTACACGTTTATTCCTACCTTTTTGCAGGGTTTTCCTGGCCAGCACTGTGGTCACTTGGATCTTTTCCAGACTTCGTCAAAACATAGACAATTTGCCAAAGATGTGCCTTTTAAAATTTAGTGACAATTAGGAGTGGGGCGTGGATGTGAGGACAAATTAAAGGGATTTAAAGGGAAACACATTAAACTAAATATTTCAAAACTGATCAGCTGATCCGATGAAACTTTCGGGAAAGTTTAACCGAGTTACAAGGAAGAAAATATTAAATTTTGGTGACGATCCAGATTTGGGTGTGAATTTGGAGGTCATCTAAAGTGCTAACGTCCCAGACGTAAATAAAAAAAAATGATAAATAGATATGAATGAATCTTTCTAGAATAGTTTCTCATGTTCCAATATATAAATGGTTACAATTTGGTGACGATCCGGAGCGGGGTGTGGATATGAGACCCATTTAAAGGGAACTACCCAAACCTCGATATCCAAAGGGAATAAATGAATGAAAATTTTATACAAGGGAGAATTATAGTATGGACGGGGTATGCACTCTAAAAGTGTGCTTTAGTTATTATCATAATAATAATAGTAATAATAATAATAATAATAATAATATTAATAATAATAATAATAATAATAATAATAATATTATTATTATTATTATTATTAATAGGCATAATAGTAATAATATTATTATTATGAATGATAATATAACTATTATTTTTATTATTATTATTATCATTATTATTACAAAATATTCCATGTATAATGATTTATATATATTTTTTGACACAGCTAAGTTATAACAAGTGTGACAGCGCCACTGAACTCCTTGGATATTATCCCTATATAAATAGTTTTGATTGATTGATTTGATTGATTATGCACATGCTACAAAGCATTTCATTGTTAGTTAAAGTTGGTTTTGGCAATGTATGTGCTGTTCATATGATATAATCGCTAGTTTATCGCACTTTGAATAATACAAAAATCATGGCAATGGCCTTGCGATATTGTCATGTAAACTGATCTGATGTTTTTCAACTTAACTGCTTTAAAGTGGCTTTTTCACAAATTATCATAACACATTTTAATTGCGCATTCATACGGCTGTCATACATGTTGCAAAATAATATACAGAGCTGTGATTGGGTACCACACAGCGCGTAACCTATTTTGCATATATAGGCTATGCGCACGCACGTTTGAGGATATACTGCTTTTCACACTACTTATATGTCAACTCGTGAGAGAGCCACTAACTCAAGGTTAGTTGATGAAAATAATATAATAATAGTATGACCTTAACAATGGTATTGCTAGAGTTCTTGTAAAATCTCTTCCTGTACGAGCTAATCTTGTGAGTCATGGATTGGTTGTTTGTTCATCATTGGGACTGTTTAAGCAACTCAACGTAGTGTCGAACTGTGTTGCAACATTTTCTTTGGAGCAAACGTAAACTTTACCTGGATATTCCTGCTGATTTGTACGTAATCTCCATCATGTATTATCAATCTCTGCATGGATATACACAAGTAGTCCTTATGTTTGTTACGTAACCTATTTAGATATTTTATATGCTGTCGATTTTTTTTTTGCCACTGCTTCGCTGATATCGCCAAGAAACTAATTATGATGGAACTGCAGGAGATACGCCTAAATGACGGTTATTCTGATAATCTTGGATTTGTTCATTCAAAAATTGATTGTTACGGCCGTCAAGGTAAATCAGCATAATTGTTTGCAACAATAGACTGCAAAAAATGTATAACTTACACGGTGTTTAATCTGTAGTTTGCTGCAGTATGATTGAGTAGGCCTATTCTCCCTACGTGCGTGCTTGGCCACTATTTAGGCTTAATGCATTAGTTCCCATTTAAGACAATTTTGAGTCCATAATTCCAAATCAGCTTAGCAACTCACAAGTTGTACAAAAGGAAATAAGTCAATCTGTTGCTATATCGACATAGGCCTATATTAATATATTTATAAAGATGGACTGTTTAAATATCCTTCTATTCTGTGAAATGTATTTGTGTCTTTAAAAAGAACTCTATTTAAAATTCTTGGATCCGCCAGCCTTAAATTTATTGTCGTAAAGGTTTATACGTATAATTATTAAGCAATATTACAACTTTTTAAATTTTAATAACGTACTTTTCATATTTTACCAGGTAGCACAAGTTTTATTTATAAACATGTGAAGGGCAACGAAATCTTTAATGAATCATCTTTAGATATTAAAACTAAAAATCATCCAAACACTCTAGAAAACAATGAGCAAAATGACTGTACCAATCCGAAAAACAACGAAGATCCTAGCGCGACTAATGAAATCTACTCGGGCAGTAAAACGACTGAGTACGATAATCTCTCAGATTATAAACACAATACAATAGCACCAAGTATTAGAGCGGGAATAGGAATTACCATTACCAATGATAAGTGCCTGGATATATACAACCGACTGACAAGAGCGTTTGATATGCTCAGTCATATAGAGGAAATACAAAAGAAATGGATGCAGGCAAATAACATAAATGTTACCTTGGCAACAATAACGCGCAATTACAAAGTGAAACAGAACATATCAGTCATTAAGGAACTCATAAGTATAGTTACAAGACTGGGGAACTATGAAGATGAATATTTCTATAATCATCCAATTTTGGATCAGATACAGCAGGTAGGCCTAATTCGTAGACTTGGGTTGTGCAATTATATTGTATGTATGAGCGTATAAGATTGTATGAGAGATGGCGGTTATACATTTGCACATATACCATAAGGTTTAGTATCTATTATGTAATGGCATGATACTCGCTTTAATATGCAAGAGGCTGCAGACTCGAATCACGCTTGGGACACGTTTTTCATCCAACTTCCTATTCCAGAGCTATTTTCAGCCCTTATTGGTCTTCCTTTATGAGCATAGGCCAAGGCCAAGTTCACACTTTGTGACTCAAGAAATGAGCGGGTCACACATTGAATATTTTAGGTCTGAATTTATGGCATAAAACTCGCCTTGAGTCAAGTCACCTGGTTAGCCAGGTATAATTGCGATGCCGACAAGCAATGACGGTACGTGTCACCAACGGCGGCAAAGACCAGACGGCTACGACGGCTGCAGCGACAACAACATCAATAACAATAAATAAGACATTGGCAATGATGATGATGACGACGACGACGATGATATTATAATGATATAATTTATAAAAAAAAATAATAAAATAGTTAACCACTCGAATGTGATGTAAACTGATGACGAATGATGCTTGGATGTATACATTATTAACTTTCTCTTCACAGGAAATTCGTGAAGCCCATGACGCTGCCGAGAATGCATATTTTTGTGACCATGTGACTGAAAGGTCTAAACTTGAAGAATACATGAGTACGATGTTGGCTTCGCTTACTAAAGTACTGGATTCATTCTCATCATTTTGCTCCGAATACAACGGCACGTCTACCAACCCACACGGATGTTCACAGATTCTTGAACAAATACGGAATGTTAGAAGTAAACTACGCACTGGTTACCAAGGCATCTATTCAAAGATGCTTTGATATGTATGATTGACAAATGTAATAATGTATATCGGAATTAAAATAGCACACGTGTACAATCCAATCATTCAATCGATAGATCAGGGGATGAATTACAAAGAAACGGAAAAAAGCATCAACCAACCAATTAACTAATAAACAATCAAGTGGATTGGAGCTACATAGCTTGGTGGTTATGATGTTTGCCTTTAATAACTCCACTCCCTATCTAAATCCCTATCTAGTCTATCAGATTCTATTTGAAAAAAAAACAAAAAAAAAACATGTGATATGCCTATGGTCATGATGACATCGCACCATGACCATATATATGCATATCATGACTAAATATGAATATACAACGGGGTTTTTTTTTGTCAAACAAAATTGGATAATCTAGACAGAGCTTTATGTCTGATTATGTGGATGAAATTGAAGAAAGTCCTCTTCTATCTGTCCTACTAGAGCTGGCCAGTACAGAAGCGGATTCAGAGTGGTTGGTGGTGGGGCCGATCGAGAGACGCCCAAAAATAACATATGAGGCCTTCTGCGCGATCAATAATTTATTTTCTTTCTTGCTTTTTTTTTTTTAGTTTACTTTCCAAAAATGGGAGGGGCGGGGCCGGCTCGACCCCCTCCCCACTCCTAAATTAGCTCCTGCAGTAATATAGTAACGTAGTTAAATTGATATAGCGCTTTATACCGAAACAGTCTCAAAACGCTCGAGGTGTTTCTCCCCTAAGGGTCTCTTCGTGTCTGAGCTACCAGGTAAAGTGGTACCAGCACTTCCGTCTGTCCACAACAGGGGCTGAATGGACCAGTACACCGGGGTAAATCTCCTACATGTTCCCATGTAAGATGGACAGGGTTCTTTAAGTGCACACGAACAAAATTATGTATAAGGGCCTACTGGTTGTAGTCCACTTATCCGAGAACCTGTTTCACCACCACCGTTCGAACAAGCTCCGACATAGCTGTGCGTTGCGGCACCCCTGCCTTAACCATTCGTCCATCCAGCTAGCTTGCCATTCATTCAGCATATTACTAAACAAATTATTATAAGCAAACAATTAAAGATGTACTCTCAGTCACAAAGACAGGGAAATACCTAAGAAATGCAATGCAAAAGATCTTTGCAAAAAAATACAGAAAAGTTATTATGAAACTACTCTCTGAAAATTGACAGAGGATTGTTTTTAAATTCAAGTTTCTAATTGTAAGTTAATAGATTACTTAAATATACACATTAAGCAATTCTAATATGGAATTTAAATTTTCAATTGTTTTACATTATGACTGATAGTACATCTTTAAAAAATCAACCAAAAAACCAATTAACCCAACCATTAAAACACTAATTATTAAATTATAATTAATCAATCGAACTATCAATCAATCAATCAATCAAAATCAATCAATCAATCGACCAATCAACTGTTCAATGCACAATGCTCCATTTTTAAAAGTAATTGTTTGTGTTGCAGATAGCGTTGTGTTTGATAAAAATATAAGTCGGCATCAGTAGCTCCATCCAGCAAAGTTTTACCAGAGAAAGTCCTCTTACATCCGTCCTACTAGAGCCAGTAATAACACCACAAAAATTTGAATTAATACTTTTTTTGTCAGTTTGCTATTATTATTATTTTTATTATTATTATTTTTTATGATAATCTTTATTATTATTATTATTATTATTATTATTGTTGTTGTTGTTGTTGTTGTTGTTGTTACTATTGTCGTTGTAGTTTAATAATATAACTATATAAATTAACCATAACACAAATTCATACATTTGCAAATGCAGTGCAATATATTTCAAATTGTGCGCTTGATTTTATTGTTCATACACAGTAGTAACACGTTTGCCTCGAATGAATTTTAATTAAATATATCAAAATATATGAGACTGTCATTTTTTTTCTTGATAGTAGCTTTGGTATCGAGATGATCATATATTGTTGAGAAAACGTCTTTTCCCAAACGGAAGCCCAAGATCTTCCCATTATCGTTCAGATACCTCACCAACTTAGCTCTACGAACATACCCTCTCATTTTTTTCTCAAAAACTAGGCTTAATCATAATTTTTCTTGTATTACACAGGATGCTAAAATTAGGCCACATGACCGCCAATGATCTTTATTACCACGAATATAAATTCACTGATTGATAAACTATTTAAGTACATTTGACTTTTCCGATGGCGTTTGACTTACTTTCCAAATCCTTATTAATAATAAAATGTTCTTTTTAAAGTTAGAATATAGTATTCTTACCATCTACGACAGATTATGTCAGCTGCCAGTGTTACACCGTGACGTCATCAGTGGACGGCGCCCTCAGATGATCGTAGCAATACTAATATTTATTATGTTAACAAAAACATTATTTTTATTTTTCAGCTAAACTTGATTGATAGCCATAACGATGAATATCAGAAGGTGTAACGTATTCAAGACACTGATTGAGTTGTCATAGATCCGTTCATGCCTGCTAGAAGTTTAAACATAGTCTACGTTTTGCAATATGACCTGTCACGGATCGAAACGACATTTAAATCGACAACCATTACAATGCTTTCTACATTGATTTATTGCACAATACACATCTTTGACACTGATGTCCCACCGTGCTTCACGATACCACTTCGAAAAACCTCGGATTTACCAGATCGTCGATTTAACATTGATGAGACACCTAAATACTCGTAAAAGTCAATTGAATTTGAATTATTTATGTCCACTTCTTCCATCACCTCCTGCATTGAATAATAAAAAAAAAAACATTCTTAACATTATTAACTGTATCGGTATCCTGGTAAACATATAGCTTTACATCTGTTAATGCCATATTCGCGTACTTTTAAAGTTGTAGGAGAAACTGGGAAAAAAGGAGTAGCTAAAAGTTCCCAGGTCCATATCAAACACATAAAATATTTAATTGGATTTCGCTAACTTAGAAGGGTGACGGTTTAATAACTAACAAGCTATCACATGTTGCACAGAAAAAAATATACTGATGTATAGCAGTACCTGATTATATTAATTAAAAATCAATATTTGAATTGATTAGGCTAAGTTAGTAGGTTGATTGTTAGACATATTACACTTTAATTAAAAATTAGAGCGAAAAAAAATTCCTCTCCAATTATTAAAAGATGCATAAACCATAATCTAATACCGTTTCTGTGTTAGCTGCATATAAACCTACTCTTAAATTTCAAGAAGAGACAGGATCATCCACCTATCCTGATTGCGTTGTACGAAAGGATAAGGAAATCAGAAATACTTTAAATATAAAATAGCTGGTATCATCTACTAAATCAAGCTAAACCATTTTTTTACAGAAGCCTCAGCAAGGAAGCCTACATTAACTAAGATCTATTACTGCAATTAAAGTAATGTTTTCAAAATAGTTAAGTTACCATCTATAATCATCTCTGTCATATACTGTATCTATAGGCCTTTAATTCATCCCTGTTTCTGTTCCTTTTATTTTCAATTTGATTTAATTTCTTTTCATTTTTTTCTGGATGCACCATCAGGTATTGTCTGATGTGTGCCACTGATGCAAAAGTGAATTCAATAAGATTTATTGGTTCTCTCTTTTATAACAGAGGAACACTCTCGCGCAGGAGAAGTTCGACCCGTACAACAGTTACAAAACAACAACTGACAACATATAAAAATGAATTATTGAAAAGATAAATGAGTAAAGAAAAAATACTGGACAAACAAAACAAATACTCTCATTATTCTGTAGTAATTAAGGAATAACTTAATGTACAACAAAAAAAATTAATTAAAAAAAAAAATTAAAAGAATTAAAAAAAAAGAGAGAATTCAATTACAGAATATAAAGTAAATAAATAAATAAATAAAAATGACAAAAAATATAAGTTTATATAAATAATAATAATAATTATTATTATTATTAAAAGGCTGATTATCATTATAAACCAACAGTATAGTCGTTTCCCACACATTCGTCAAAACCTTTGCTAATGAGTGATTAGTGCACTATGTATTCCTTCTGGCACAGCTGGCCCTCATGAAATTTTGTACTACACTGATTGCTCCCTCATGGAATAACTTTGCACTAGTGTAAATAACCTACGATGCTTATTAGGAGTATAAACATCGGCTTTCACATAGGCCACCTATACTAAAATCATTACAAAATGTTACACAAATGGAATATACAACATGAATTTTTTATGTTGTACCAGATGTACTGCAGTAAATTAATGACTTATGAAGTTTAATATTTGACCTAGGGCAGATATAGAGTTACACACGCCTGAATTGCAATATGGACAGTCTGTTGAGTAGGTTAACCAACTTGAGGATATGTGCATTCATATTTTCAACCAGCAAACTATATTTTTACCAATAAAAATGAATCAATCGATCTATTTAGCTGTAATCTCTAAAAGTATGAATACATATAAATTGGACTTAGCAATCTAATGCCTACGGAAGCGATATAAGTATTTTCTTTTCTTTTCTTTTATTTATGTAAATCGTTTGAAATCATACCTTTATTTGATTTTCTGTATAATAATCACCAACAGTTGAATGTATTGCGTCCATTGTTTCACTAAGGTCGAGTGAGAAGTTTTTGTCCTTATCATATTTGGTAAACATTTTGAAATAATCGAGAATCTGATAAAAATATTAAAATATTAGTTTCAATCTTGCTTGTATAATAACATGTAAAATAATAGGGTTTGTGTTATTTGACATACTACGGGTATAATAGTACATTACATAATTAGCCTAGATACAATGAGGTCAAGTACCAGTATATCCTTTTATTAACTTGTATCTACTTGGTAAATAGGGGGCGCATTTTAAGCAAAGCTGTTTTCGATGGTTTCATTAAGTATTTTTGAATGATTTTCACCAATGTAAGTAAGTCTAAACTAGTTGACAATTAAGTATATTAGAAGTACAATGAGATTTTACAAAGGCCTATTAGTGGAATAATGGTGCAATGGTTTTGTTGAATTGAACGCATTTTCAATTTTCTGTTTCAAATAAACATTTATTTCTTTCAGCTCAAACAATCAAACAGTTAAAAAAATTCAAGGCCAAGATCATAAATAAGCAAGAAACGTTGAAATAAACAGATTTTATTTTAAATAGAAAAGGGTAGTGCTCAAAAAGGAACGCCAAAGTGAAGAAAATTATGAATTCTCACATGACACTCTCATAGCAAGCGTGCCCTGAATAATATCAAAACATGATGAACGCATGACATACTGTACCGTACCTGTTCTTTTGTATAACTCTTAAAATATTTCATGGCTGTCTCGATATCCAATGTGCCGGTGCTTGGATTAATAAGTTCAGGGTGGTCGCCTGTAAGCAAAATATGTTCTGATTGGTAAATTCATTTTTCAAATTATTCGATAAAAATGGATCTTACAAATAAGAGTCAAATGGGGATAAAAATTAACATCGGACGAAATTTATCGATCCAATTAGATCCTCTTCGGCTTCTATACTCCAAAGTGGGGCACACACGTGCGACCATCGTGACGCGTCGGCCGACGAATTTACCTTTACTTTCTGTGAGCTCTCAACAGCGGCTACGCCGTCTGCTGATTGTCAGACTGTGCGCAGCGGATTGTCATAATAAACGATCCGTCCCGTTCCGTTCTCCATGGAATCGTGTCAACTGACGACCGTCGGGCGCAGTGTGTAGAGTGCTTTGCTTTATACTGTCAGGTGAATAGGCCTATGTACACCAACATCTCACTCACAACGTTCAAATCTCGGATTCTCATCTGATGGTGCAGGTGTAATTGAAAATCGCCATTTTACAGAAATACAGAGAAACTTTCATAATAGGCCTACACAATTGTTAGTCGAATGTATGAATAAACAAATAAATTAATTAAATGGACCAACTCCTGGTTAAGAGAATGATTTAATCAAAAGACTTGAAATTTTATCGAAAGACTTTGTCTGATAGAATTAGATTTTGAATATATTTATATTAATCGTTAATTCTGTTAATGTGTACACTTTACCAGAATAGTTGAACCAATGGAGATTATATCTAATAACGTAGAAAATTCTTCCACTAGATATATCAATATGTAAGAAGATTAGAAATATACATAAAAAATATCACACTCCTCTAACCGTATCAAAATATATTTTCAAGATCATACCTGATACTTGTGCCGGTGGAAAGGAATATGTCGATGCTTTCCGAGGACTTGATATTTTTGCCGAGCTAGCCCTTGCTTTTCTATGATTTGTTTTATTTAGTGACACATTTGAGCCGGTATTTGACCAAGTACTTGAGTCCTTAGGCCTAAGCCTACTACTTTTAGGTCGTAAAGGCGTTCCAGGACGCCTTCTTCGGACTGGGCTTTGTGATCCCGTCAATAGCTGTTTTCCTGCTTTGGCGTTTTCTGTCGATTCAGGAACTACGATTGTTGGAGGAGCAATGGAACGGACATGAGTGTTCGCCGCTTCTAGGTGCGATGAGTTATTATCAGAACTTAATGTTTTATCGTCTGTATCTATTTCTTCAAGGTGTCTTTCAACTGGACGCAACGTTCTGTTCAAGGAAGTCGTAGCCAAAATTTAACACTATTTAAATTATTTTTCAATTCACTTCTAAAAGCATGCATACACTCGCCAACTACATAGTGGCACACCAACAAAACTTTTGAGAATTTTATATGTAAATATGGCGGGCATCAATACTATCTAATTAATTAGTAGATGGTTTTTTTACCGTGCAAAATGAAAAACATTTATTAGAAATCATAACAAGAAAATTGGGGGAAGTAACGATGTTATTATTATTAATTTGGCTAATTAATTAATCATGTAGAAATTTGTGTCATTAGATAAAAAGCTATTTGCTAAATTGTGTTCATATCACCATTACACAAATATGACTTTTGAAACAGAGACAATAAAACACCATGTGCAATATGTTATGACAAATGAACTTTAATCACCCCACGGCTTATGCAGAATTTTATAAAATGCGAGTAAGCTAACAAAAATTGAACACAAATTACTATAACGGCTACTGTATTACAGCGTACTTACTGAGATTTCGTTAGTTTCTTTAGTGATGGATGACCGATAATTTCCTGTGAATAAAAATTGTGGAAATTATTATTAACAAGAACGAGATAACCTTATTGTACCTCTTTAACAACGAACTGACGACGGCGCCCGTGTCGATTGGTCAGCAGATTGGTTCACATGCAAATCATGTGCCTAGCACCAAGCGACTGGAGAGCTTTTAACAGGCACAAACTTTCAAAGCCTGTATAGTTCTCCAAGTTTTGTCTCGTTCACGATGGTTTTCCAGATATGTGTATAATGTACGAGGTTGCTGATAGTACGACCTAGGTTGAACTACCGTATCAACTCCTTACGATCTGTATTGAGTTGATACGGCGGTTAAAACATAATCTGCCTTATAATAAATATTGACAGTAGGGCAATCAATTAAATATAGGCCTACTGTAGCATCCACAGCAATAATTAAACTTACACATGAGCATTAAAAGAAGGGAGATAAGAGATGTACTTTGATTTAATAGGCGAAAAACAGTGGCAAACATGAAAGATAAAGTAGACTGCACTTTACATTTACAGACTAACAACGACGTTAATTAAACCACAAGCTTCCTCTCGGATGATTCTATATGTAATGATGAATATGAACGTCAACGTTAATTGAAACGCACAAACAAGAAGGCACTGACCTCATCTAACGCTATGTAGTGTAACGGTAAATCAGCTTTCATTATCTCAAGTCGTCCAGACCTCACTCCATTGTATATTGCATTCAAAATTAAAGTCATCTTCCGCACGTCACCCTTCCCCAACGACCCATTTTCCTTATCCCTTTCTACGATAGTCCTTGATAATAAATCATTAGAAAGAAAATAATTAGTACCTTTAGATCACCTTTACCACTTGCACTTACTTTTTGGGAAAACTTCTAGTCAGAAATAGATAGAAAAGACCATACACGTTACCGGTAACATTTTAATAATTAAAAAAGTTATTACAGACGTTTTACTACGAAAATAACTAAATGTAAGAGCATGAAATGTACAAAAAAAAAACCGAAACAAGAAAACAAAACAAAGAAAAAAAAAAAAAAAAAAAAAAAAAAAACAAAGGAAAAAAAAAAAACACAGTAATTTGTAGAAGCCCGCTGTAAGAACCCATTTGAAAATGAGCGTTTTCAACTAAAAGGCGGTAAACTAATTAACAATGTAATGCATTTCAGAAAATTAAAATCTACCATCTTTAAATTACTCACGTAAAATCTTTCCTAATTCCATTAATGCAGCCAACAAATAATTTCTGGTGATCTGCTATTTCTCTTTCCACGTAAGACATATCTTTCTCTAGAGTATAAAGTCTTCGTTTAGAGTTTTCCAATTCAGTAAAAAGATCTGATGAGGTAAAAGCTATATGTATGTTTTATGCTATTTCAATAAAATTACAATTCCAACATTCTTAAGCAACACTATCCAGCATCTGTATAATTAATTAATTAATTAATTAATTAATTATTATTATTATTATTATTATTATTATTATTATCATCATCATCATTAATATTATTGTTTGAAGGTTTGCATGGCGAAGTAATAATATATATTATTATTTATATATTATTTAATATATAATACTTTATTATTATTATTATTATTATTTTATCATCAACAGCAACATCATCATCATCATCATCATCATCACCATCATCATCATCATCATTATCATTATCATCATTATTCATCTGTCCAGACTATCAAATTTTCTTCGACAAAAGAAAACTATTGTATGCCCTTATAGCAATGATGTACCTATACATGGTCACTATGTGATGTCATCATGACCATATTTTGGCATGTCACATGTTTTTGTCAAATGATATTTGATAGTCTGGACAGGGCTTTATATTACGAAATAGAAATATGAATACCAATCTTTGATCTTACCGTCCCTGTCTGCTTTCCGAGATACAACATCTTTCATCTTCTCCATTTTGAGCTTCTCGTCCAATTCCTGTAATTAAATGACAAAACGTCATAATTTTTGTTGTTTCTGGTTTTTTGTTGACAAGAGAATAAAACAATGCGTCGTAATTACATAAAAAGGTGTGCTTTTCTATCAATTTTTTGTATAAAGTAATTTCCTGTATTCTTACTGAACTATAAGATATTAAAATAAACTTATAGTACGTTTCAAAATGTTCCAATAGTCGATATTTCTTGTTCTTACTTTTTAGAAGCAATTATGCTGCAGTTTTCTTAATTCTAATATTGCAGAAATTGTATGATTACGTCACAAATAATGTTTATAACCATTGTAATTCTAAGAAGAGAGAACAACAGGCAGAAGAAAATTTGAAAGGAATGAGTAGCAAGGAGATAAATGGAGGATGAATTTTAAAACTGCCCGCAATGAGTGCATTAAAATAAATTAATAAAAAAAGATGAATACAGAAACAGAGGTGGACAGACAACCTGAGAGTGTACAATAAATGCTGGTTTAGAGAAAAAAATCAGACAAAAAGCGGTGGAACGTTTTAGAGGAGGGGTGTGTTCAAAACTGATGGACCCTGAAGTAAGTAGGAAAGTAAAAGTTCACTTACTCGAATTCTTCCGTTCAGACGATCTTTTGTATCCTCGTGAAGTTGTTGGAGACCCGTAAGTTCTGCTTCTAATTCTCTTTCATGTTGAGCTACATTATCTAACAGTTTCTTTTTCTCCTTCTCCCATAGTTGGACTGTGCCGTTTCTTTGTAACCTACAGGCGCATACGCATACAGTAAGGTTAACAGTACTTAAAAGAATATAGCTGAGAAACGCTTACAAAATTCAGCGAAGGACCACAGCCACGGAGATTGGTACTGATGGTTGTGGCGATGATAATGACGATGATGTCGACGATGATGATGATGATGATGATTATAATGCTGATGATTATGTTATTGATAATGATGATGACGATGATGATGATGATGATGATGGTGATGACGATGATGCTGATGATGATGGCCATGGTGGTGGTGATGATGATGGTGGTGGTGATGAAGATGATGATAAAGGTAACGATGTTGATGAAGATAGTTATGACTATGATGATATGAATAAAACAAATACAAATAAACGATTAAATGATGGCACTCATTAGTAAGATCCCAGCAAACACAAAACGTTCTCATAACGTTCGTGAACTTTGTGGTAATGGCCGTTTTCGACTGGTCGTTTTTCGTTAAACCACGCCCAGCTGCGCAGCGGTAAAATCCTACTCAACGAAGACAACCAGTCGAATAGAAAACTTGTAAATACTCGACAAAACAAAATGGCTGCATGGTTACCGCGATACACGCCGTGATTGCTTCAGCTTGTGACAATATGTGTTTTTTGTAAGGAAAATATTTTCATCCAGTTTTTGAATTCTGTTAGCCTACACTTATATTTTTACTTCAATGTGGGTAAATATTATAATTTTTATTTTCAGAAATTTTATCTAAATAATATTAACGCAAATTTTGTTTCTAAACTCACCAATCGGCCATGTTTATTTTAGTCACGTGGATAATTTAACGCAGATGAACGCACTCTCGTTTACGTTAATTTTCGATGTCAATGAAGTCTATTTTACGAACCAGTCGAATAAAAATAATACTCAACGAAAAATCGTAGTCAACAAAATGAACCAGTCGAATACGCCCTATGTATCTCACAAAATAACGTTCACACAACGTTGTAAGAACGTTTAAACGCTGTGACGTGAAATCTGGTTATAAGTACGTACATATGGTTCTACAAAATAACGTTTTTATCACCAAACTGTAACGTCATTATAACGTTCTTATAACGTAATATTCTTAGCTGGGATAGTGATGTATATAAACGATGAGGTGTGCTATATTAATGACAATGATAGTTAAATCTTGATAGATTTTATAACTGTAATTGTATTGAAACAAGGTTTATCTTACTGTTGAATTATTTTTTGTTTTTCTTGAAGCTGTTCACTTAAGATTCCCGTTGAACTTAATTGTGATGTTAACTCCTTAGAAACTTCATCTAATTTCCACTTTAGATTTGTTGAAGTTTGCTTTTCTTTTAAAAGATCGCCTGAAAAAATAAATGTTTAATGTAAAGCGGTGTTATATATAAGTTGGGTACAAGAGTGCTATCACCTGAATTTCTAAATTTTGAGTTGATGTCATCATTGCGGATTCTTATAAAATAATACTTACGTCGTAAATGTTTGACGTCTTGACTCAGGGTTTCCTCTCTCTTTGTTGTATTCTAAAGCAAAATAACAATAGTATTAACACTAATAATAATAAAGAAAGTGATAAAACTATTATTATAATAAGCTATGATAAATTAATTATATATTATATCATTACACCTAGCAATATATTTTTTTACGAAGTATCTCATTTAAGATGAACTTTATTTACTAAATAAAGTTATGTTCAATATAAAAATAAATAGTTAATAAAATATGTTTTAGGAAGAATTCAAAAACATTACGTGTAGGAAGCTTAAGTGTTGGATATATTTATTCAGGTAGGTAACATTTAAAAGTTTCATAGTGAAAGAAACGGCTGCATGTAATAGCAGAAAGATAGGCGTTTACTTAACAGTTGAGTAGAAAAATGTGTGTGTGTGTGTGTGTGTGTGTGGGTGGGTGTGTGTGTGTGTGTGTGAGTGTGTGTGTGTGTGTGTGTGGCAGAGTAAAGGACGAGACGTAGATATTACGATAGCCAAAATGGTTTGAGAGGAACACGCTACCAACAGGTAACTGGTAACATTCGAACAAAGTAATTGGCTAAAACATGAACAGAAAGGTCCACTGATTAATCTCAGATAAGAAAGTATAATACATACTCCAAGTTTTGAAATGCACGCCATCGTGTTGGGATTACATATTTCGACATTAATTATGTCATCATCAGGATGGCTAAAACATATTAAAAATTATTGTTCTTTCTATTATATTATTACGTCATACCTGTAATTGTTCAACAAGTACTTGTTTGATACTGTCTAATGTAGAAATAAACTCTAGAAAACGGTCACTAAGTGACCTATTGATGTTGAGGTCATTGTCATGGTGATGGTAGGTGTTAAAATGACGCTGACGTAATCGTGCCCAGCTTTCTTCCTCCTGTAATGTAATACAAATATATTATATATTTATATATTCATTTATTGCATTATACATTCTTCAAGGATAAGCTTTACTGTGTTGAGCTGGCTAATAAACTATAAAAAATAAACTCAATTTTTACAATGTTTACTTTGTATTATGATTGTAAATATTCAATATAGTGTTTGAATAGAAAAGTAAAAACATATAGATGGATAAACTTACAATGCTTTGCAGTTTTTGACGATAATTTTTGTATGTAATAGAGACTTCTTTCTTCGGATCAAGTTCCAAAATCTCAGTAAATGCTTCGATCATCATATTGATACCTTGCTTCAACTCTTTCAGGCGATCACGGCTGAATAGTAAAGCAACTTCGCGCGCCTTTTCTGCGTCATCATCATTTTCTTCTGTTGCGAGAGAAACTAGCGTTCTGTCCATCCCTATTAAAATAATAAAAATGACATCAATAAAGGTTAGTAAATTATCAGTCCTTCTACATATGACCGGAGAGCTAGCTACAAACAAGCAGTGGTATATTTGAGGGGGGAGGGGCAGGAAAAACGGTAGGCCTAATATGCCGTACCAAGTCTCTGTTAATTATTGACGATTTTTTTTTATCCCATGATAGTTCTGAATGTTCTGCTACTGGTCTTACCTTTGTTTGACAATATTTCCATCATGTAGATTCGTCAAAAACACCTTTTTGTAAATATTAACTTAATATGAGCAAACAACAGGAGACACAAGTGGATACAGTATAACATGTTTCCAAATTCCAGCGCCTAGCAGAGTACGCCCACTGACGTAGGATACTGTTCATTTTTATTATTCATTTTGTCTTTCCTTTTGATACTTATGACTAGTGGTGTTTTATATCCCTAATGCTTCACTGATTTTAGTGGCTAGTCCTTTTGTTATGAATCTACTTAACTTTAAAGGGGAAAAACAAGGGAGATTCTAAGTTCCTTGTTTGTTTCTTCAGTTGTACCCAAGACAATTGTCACAGGTAAAGTTAAGACACATAATAAAAGACAACTGAAATACTCAGTATTATATGCTTTCGTGAAAAGGGGAAGTTGCGGGGAATGAAACATATACAAGTGGGTTTAATTAATTAATCCTACCTATGTCATAGTAATAGCAGGTCTACATTCTAACACCTTCACATAACATTCGTGTGTCGTACTTAAATAATAGTGTTCAAAGCCTAACAGAAACCGGGTATTTAGGCATATTTTTAGCAGGGGAGGTGGTGGAGGGAGGGCATGGGGTGATGGCGACACCATCTTTCTTGTTAATTAATGCGATTCAAAATCATTAATCTAATCACAAATGAATTTGCATCCTTGTCGAAGGAAAAAAATTAATTTGCTTTCGTTAATTGACACCGACAAGGTCTTGTCCTTTCTGTATTTTTGTACTATGTTTATTTTAACGTTTCTGGCGAAATAAATTAAATTAAAAATAAAATTTCATCAATATCAAATTTGCACATTCTGGCGCTGTTAATCGTCCATGGTTGTCTCGATGGATCTTGTCTACGTCATTGAAAATCTCATCATCTTAAAGTACCAGTGCTCAAATACGATACGATAACGATTCTCCACATTGATTTTTGTCTAGTTCTAGGCCATTGTTCATAACTACACAAGGAGATACGATATATCACAGTCTCAGATTATTAATTTCCTAATTAGTGACAGGCAATGTTGTTCTGCATTTTAAAAAGAGGCACTTAATATTCTAAAATGATGAAATTATTTAAATACAGAACATTTAATTTGAGAATGATGTTCAGCATCACTGGTTATTTTAGATAGTATGTTTATTGAACTACTGTATGCATTTAAGCAATGTGTCTTTTCTAGGCTACAAAACGCCGCAACAAGTCTCAGGAGTAAGCCTACTCTTAAGGAAGTCCGGTCAACTTCACGAAACTTTCGAGAAAAAAAAATCAGCAGGTAGTACAGTCTGACAGCACAATAGATCAAAAACGTTCCAAAACAAACATACAACATTAAAATAAGGAAAATAGCGAAAGTAAAGTGGGTTATGCAAAGAACAGTAATTAATTAACCTTTAGGCTCAGTTAATAGATAATACTCGCGGCGTATCAATCAATCTAGAAATGAAAATCTTTGTGACAAGGTATTGAAAATAAGAAATTTGTTGCCTAAGTAAACTGCGGATCTAAATAGTACGTACACATAAACCAGACAGGGTTTTAAAAAGTCAGACAAATCAAGCCTAACACCGGTGATTAGAGTCCACTTCCGGGCTGTGAGGAAGACCTAATGGGGGGGGGGGGGGGGGGGGGGGGGGGGTCCGGCAGCCTTTCGACAGGCGGGGTACTGGGGCGGGTCCAGATATTTAAATATTTGCAGGAGGGGTGCAAAAAGAAGGCAACTCCTGTATTAATTGCGAAGTTTAAATGACTTGAGAACCGTCTTCTGTCTTTCGAAGTCCGAAGATAAAAGTAGTTTCCGACGACAGGGGTCTATAGCTTTTCCATCGGGAAGGCAGAATTTCCATTGAAACAATGGGGCCGCCGCTACACAGGAAATAGTCTTGGCATATTTTTTGACTGTTTTAAGGGGGGAGAAAACCCAATTGATATTTATCTAGATTCAATTCTAAAATTGTCCAAATCTGAAACAGGGACGTACTATTGGTTGTTTTTACACATTCAATACTGAAAACGTGTTCGTCCATTCTAAGTTGAATTTCTTTATTTAAGCCTACTATTGTGTCGATAATGGCTTTAGCTCCAGCTAGTCTTTAACCATTATATTGAATTTGGAGTTCATTATCCCTTGACTTTAGCGGCAGTGTGTGCTTTCGGTATAGAGCTTCTTATTTACATTAGTCTTATTGTACTAGTACCTCTTTGTATTACTGATTCTGTGACATCAAATCACGGTTTACATTTCATCAGAATAGAGTATATATTCAAACATTAGTAGAATACCTAGAGTATTGTTAGGTGCAGCATTCAAAACAACCATGTACTCTATGGTTTCTTCGAGTATATTTATCAAAGAGCGGGATACATTTTATACACAATAGCAATAGGCCTATGCAAACAAAGATGAAGTACAGCATTGCATTTAAGACTTTTTGTATCAATAATGAGAATGCGTGACGCTACTACAGTTTACGATGATCAACAAAACCAAATTGAATTTAATTCGAGATGTTGACACAGTAGTCAATTGCTAAATAAGCCAGTGATTGCGGCAAACCTCTGAAAACACCCCTAAACATTCGATTAAATATTGAATTATATGCTACTCATTCAAAGTAATCAAATAAATTTGTTTAACGTTCAACATAATAAGACACAATTTGGTTTTCACTGATTAACAGAATTTGTGTCCACTGTATATAAAATACACATGTAAAGCATTCGATCCACTTCACTTTACCGATTGTTTAAAACATCATTACACAAGCTAAAATCGTTTGCCAAATTCAATGAAAAAAATATAGCGTAAGGTTATTACAGTAATTTAAATCTATAATATACCGTTAATAAATTTAGAGGAAACGTGAAGAGCATGGGATTTTTTTTTTATCACAACAGACTGGTAAAGCAAGGGGAACGTACATACACGATAAAATCAATCCGTTAACTGAAAATGCACCTTTACTACCCCCCAGAGCCTACCACATCTAAATACACCCGGATACTATGCTAGAAAATACAATCACACTACAAAACAAAACTGAAGTCAGAATGTTACGTTTCATTATTTTTATCCTGATTTTATTGCATCCTCCTCAAATTAATTTCAATACAAATAAATCTATCGAGTAAGCAGAAGGCAGACGAAATAATTTTACTGACGGTGTTTCATGAACACGCTATCAGAACATGGTATCTTTTATTAGATTCGAGAACAAACACAACTAAACAACAACTTGGTTACGACATTATCTGAATTAATGTGTACCTGTACAAGGGTCAGACACGAAGAACCCAAAGACAGACAAAACTCGGTAATTCCCATCTTTTGTTAACAGCAATCTGTACAATGCTGAGACTGTTTGTATTCATATGAATTATCATATAGATAACGACAGTGTTTGTTTAATGTCAGTATTGGTGTGAACCTACAAGAGAATAATTGGACAGGATGCACATGGCTAGCTTTCTGCATAATATCGATATATAAATATGCTCCAGTTGGGGCAATTATTTCGCACTCGCAGATTTCTCTTTAACGTTTACATGTAGGCCTAATATGCATATATAAATACAAGTTTGTAGCTAATAAATACAGATGGAATCGTTTTCAGTTTGTATACATTGTTTCATTTTATTTGATTCTGTTCCCAGCCGGTTGAGCCCTCTCATATTGGTGATTTGCACCAATTTCTCTTTGATATATATATATATATATATAATATACATATATATACATATATATATATATATATATATA